GGATGCGCTCTGGGTGGCTCTGGTGAGTGTCCTTGGGGGATGGGAGGGCCTCGCACGCCCGAAGCGAATGTGCCGCTCCTGGTTTTTGAGTCGGAGTCTCCCTGTCGCCCGGGCTGGAGGGCCGGGGCACGCTCACGCCGCTGCAGCCTCCACCTGCGGGGCTCAGGCGAGGCTCTCGCCTCCGCTTCCCAAGGTGCCGGCAGGTCGGGCGTGAGCCGCCGCGCCCGGCCGCGGGTGCTGCTCGGAGCGCCTGGCGTCGGCCTGAGGTCAGTCTGTTCCTAGCACGCCCTGCGTGGAGCGGCCCCTGTGAGGCGGTTCTGGGGCTCATCAGAGCCTGCGGGACTCCGGCCCTGGGCCTTGAACTTCGGGGGTCGTCTTGGAAACCGCTTTCTCCGCGCTCTAGGTGGAGGGAAGGGTTTGTGCAGAGGCTTTAAGGCTGGACTTTGGGAGGCGGAGGCGAGAGGATTGCCTGAGTCCACGCGTTCGAGAGCAGCCTGGGCAACTTGGCGAGCCCCCGTTTCTACAATAAACACAAAATTAGCCGGGCGCGGTGGCTCACGCCTGTAATCGCAGCACTTTGGGAGGCCGAGGCGAGAGGATAGCCCGAGTCCAAGGGTTTGAGACCCGCCTGGGCCACTTGGCGAGACCTCATCTCTACAGTAAATGAAATATTAGGAGGACGTGGTGGCGCGTGCCTGTAGTTCGGCTACTTGGAAGGCCGAAGCGGAAGGATCTCTTGAGCCCAGCAGGTCAAAGCTGCGGTGGCCGTGAGCGTGCCCCTGCCCTCCAGCCTGGGCGACAGGGAGACTCCGACTCAAAAAAATAAAATAAAATAAATAGAAAGGAGGAGTGATTAAAGAGTTGATGTTCCAAAAGTTGATTCTGGCTGCTGCGTCTTGGTGGAAGGGTGGGTTAGGGTGGAATACTAGTAATAGCCTTTGTGATTTGTTGGATTTGTAGATGATTCTTTTGGGAAGCTTATCTTTTTTTTTTTGAGTTGGAGTCTCACTCTGCCACCCAGACGAGTGCAGTGTCCGCTCTCGGCCACCGCAGCCTCGACCTGCTGGGCTCCGGCGATCCTTCCGCCTCAGCCT